TTTGCATAAAAATGCAGCTTAGAGGCATAGAAGTGTATTCAGTTCATCATGGCCTTTAGAGCTGAAGCACGTGGACACCCTGAACACCCTTATTGAAGTTACCGCATGGTCGAGGTCAAGTGAAGCAGCATCGTGCCAGACAATGAGGAGGTGAAATGGCCAAGAATGTGTAGCTTGATGATTGGCAGTTTAGAAATATCGAGACCAGAGGGTAACTCTTAGGGAAAATGAAGGTGGGACATGAAGGGACTTTCTATGGCATTAGCCACGGCTTCACCTGCTGCAGATGGTTTTAATAAAAAACCTATTGAATCAAGAGTCGTTGGTGTGTTTTTCTACCCAAGATGAATGGAATCCCATTTTCCTCTCAGGCGAAACAAACTGGTGAACGAATATTTTTGCAACAACTGTGTCACATTTATACCACCTTTCTTCCTTTTGCAAGGAACTCAAGACAGCTTCCACAGTTGGTGTCTTCTCCATCTAATCCCCACACAACAACCCTGTGAGGTAGGTTATTCTGAGAGTCCGACTGGCCAAAATCACCCAGTGTACTTCATGACTGAGTGGGGAGTAGAACTGGGATCTCCAAAGTCTTAATCCAAGACACTAAGTACTATGCTTCTTCAGCTTTCATTTTCTTCTTGGGCACTACAAAACTATTCTTATGCAAAACTTGGGTCTTCTGTTACTCCAGGGATATTTTGATTTATAGAAAGAAAAATGTAAAAGACAGGAGGGTGAAATTTGAGGACTCTTTCACTGGACAGATTATACAATGCCCTGGAAGGATGAGAGTGCAGGTCTTCTTCTTATGTTTAAACTACACAACAGAATGTGACCCAGGGAGGTCAGTTACCCTGGGATGTCATACAACCTGGTATATGCTTGGCCATATCCATGGATATCCATGGACAGTGCCTCTTGTATATGTGGTGTACAGAAGAGATGCTGCCAGCATCTCCTTCTCAGATGCTTTCTTTATTTCCTCCAAAGGAATTCTCATTTACACTTTTAGAGTGGAAAAAAAGAAGAGGTCAGTTTGCTTGATGATTACTTTGGAAGGCATCCAGGGGTGAGGCCAAACTCAGCAGCTGTTCCTACTCATTTGTTTCCCAGAGATACCAGATGTTAGCAATAAATTCATAAAGCATCTCTTAAGAACAGTGCTTGCTAGCTAAATGGTTTTCTCTCTAGACAATGAACAAGGGTGGGATTCTGGCTGCTTGAGGCCTCCCTTCCTGTCATTCCACTTGGAATAAGAGAACTAGTGAAGATGCAGGTCTTGGGTTACGACCAAGCTGCCAGTGATGAAGAAGCAGAGCAGTCTTTGCTTGACCACTGCTGATCAGTCACTTATTTGGAGTTCTTACAGCATGGGTCCTCAAATTACGGCCCATGGGCCAGAACTGGTCCACCATGCCCATTTATCCGGCCTGCCCCAGAGGTTTTTGGACTTGCTTGGAGAAAACGATCTCTGAATGAGTCCAAAAGCTCTGAGCCAGTGCAGGTGTTCTTTAAAACTGAGCAGAGAGAGAGCCGGCGCATGCCCAAATTGCAACAGCTCAACTGCACGTGTGCCGGCTCCCCCCCCCCCACACCCCATTGCATGCATATACGGAGCGAGAATATGGAGTGTGAAACAGAGGAGAGATGGGCAGAAGAGAAAGAGAGAAGATGAAGAAAGGACTGAAGGTAACAAAAATATAACTTTTAAAATCTATTTTTAATTATGCGAACCCAGGGGTGGCCAGGCCAGGGGCAGCCAGGACTGTCCCTGCCGCTGCCGCGCCACACCTGCCGCACCCGCTGCCTCGCTGGCCCGCACCCACCACTGCTGCCTTTCAACTGGCCCCCTGTTGAAAAAGTATGAGAACCCCTGTCTTAGAGCATCAGAAATGTTGCTCTTGCAGACTCCAGAAGCATGGCTTCCTCCACTGATGACATATTCTTAGTAGAGTTTGCCATCTACAAACAAAACTGATTGGAGTAGAAACACTCTTCATTCCCCTTCCTTTCTTCTTTTCCTTTTTGTCGTTTTGTTTTGTCTTGCCACAATTTTAAAATATAATAATGCAAACTCTTCTGGTCTTGAATGAGGATTCCATTGATGAGCAGGTCAAGGTGTTTATCTTTCATTAATTTATGACACTTCTGTACCACCCAATACTAAAGTTTTCTGGTGGTTCAGAACATGATAAAACAAAATATAAAAAAAATAAAATGAAAAAAGTAAAACAGTTAAAAAAATAATCAAAAAACTGCAGGGCTCAGTTAAAAAACTAACAGTAAAAGCCTTATCGTATGATGTCAAATACCCGTGAGTTGAGGAAAGGGTTAACCTGATACTACAAAGACAACAGCCCTGGCTTCTGGCAAACCTAACTGGAGATGGTGTTCAGCAGGAGCTCCTCTGACCCTCCCTTGGAGGAGCCAAATGAGTCCAGTTTGGCCACAGCTTTTATGTAGATAAAAAAGACACACACAGAGCATAAATAGAAAATACTATCTAGTGAAAAACAATTAATGTACAGTAGAAATTAAGGCAAGTACTTCTTAGAATATCTCCAGCCCAAATAGAATGCAACATACATGGATCGTAAGACATTTTAAAAACTGAATATTGTTTACAAAAGCATTAGAATTGCTTTAAAACTTGTTATAGTTAATCCCACTGGTTGAATAGCAAGCACATCAGTTATAAATGAAAATCTTTGTTAGTAGGAATATGCATATTAAAACATATATACAATACATTATTTAGTGGAATAGTGCCGAGTTATGATGTGCAGCACAGTTTTTGAAGGCTCATGAATCTGCTTACATCTATACTAGTGTAAAGTGGGCAGAGGAAATAAATCTACTCTGGATTTTGAGGATGCACGGCCAGGACTTCCAGCCCAGCTTTATGCATCTGTACTTGGGAGTATGTCCCATTGTGTCCCATGGGAAATTTCTCCCAATACGTGCATATAGCATTGCAGCCCTTACAATAAAGCCAATGTGATATAGTCATGCATGCCAGGTGGCAAGATTTTAGCATGGAAATGCAGACCTCCCTCCCTCCCTCTTAAGAGCATACGAGCCTATTGATAAAATAATACCGTTCATGTACTGAAAATAAATATGAAAATAAAACCGCCAATATGATACTGCTCTCATTCAAACTTACAGTGTGACCACACTTAGGAAACTGGGTGCAGTTCTGGTTATCACACTTAGAAGGGATATTGTAGAGCCGGAAAAAGTGTCGAAAAGGACAACTGAAAAGATGATGAGGTTAGAGCAACTCCCTTGTGAGGAAAGGTTACGGCAGCTGAGATGGTTTAACCAAGAAAAAGGGTGAGTAAGGAGAGACATGGTAGAGCGCACAAAATCATGCCAGGTGAGGAGAAAGTGGTGAGGAGGCATTTTTCTCTCATGCCCATAATGCTGGAATCTGGAGTCATCCCATGAAGTGGGTTCATGGGAGACTCAGGACAGATGGAAGGAAGTGCTTTTCACACAACACATAGTTAAACTGTGCTATTCATTTGTACAAGATGTAGTGTGGGCCACCAATCTGAATTACTTTAAAAGTGGATCAGATAAATACAAGGGGGACTGACTCTCTGGCTGCTGGTCTTGATGTGCTGCCTCCAGTTCCAGCTGCAGGGAGCCTGTGCACACGAGCTGCTGAGGAACACGGGCAGGAGACATCTTGTGGGCAGCTGGTCAGTGCCTGTGTGGACAAAACGCTGGCCTAGATGCGCCCTGGATCTGGCCTAGCCAGGTTCTTCTTACGTTGTTCTGTCATTAGCTACATAAACCATGTTCAGGCCAGTCGGTGCAAGTGCTGTTAGGTTTTTAGGGTCTTATGTTCTTTGGGGGGGCTACCTTTTAAGGAGGTAATATATACCACCTCACTCACTTCCAGATGTGGTAAGCCAGCCCTGCTGTGTCTCGGGATCTTTCTGCTCATTCTTCTGATCACAGCCTGGATAACTGCCCTGAAGTCCTGCTCTGGTGGCTCTTCTGCCCACCAGAGTTAGCAGCTGTTGTGGTTCCAGAATGTGAGCATTTCATGTATGATCATCCTAAATGCTGCTCGCTGTCGGTGCCACCACACAGCATCCACCCTGCTCTCTCGGAAACTTCTTTGTCCACAGAACCAGAAAGAACCAACCAGGCAATCGCATGGGAGCTGCATGCAGTTCAGCAGTCAGGCACTGATTTCCAAGTTCAAAACAGACACTCCTGTGCTCCTAGTCCAAGAAGATGTATCTGCATCTGGCCAAGTAAATGCAGGTACAGCTGCACACGGAAGCCTTCTTCAGGCGCTCTTTCAGTGTGGGGGGAAACATGTAGGTGTACTAGCAGTGTCTCCCTCCTTCTGCATTTCCATCATTTCTGCATGCAGGAAGTGCTGCTCTGAAATGACTCCTCCTTCCCTCTACAGAGAGTCTCCATACAATTTTGCCACTGCTTTTTTGGTACGCCAAGCCTCCACTGGCAGAGTGCTCCCTTTTCAAATCATTGGCCACCACTGGAGGGAGAGGGGAGGGGAGAATGTGGCGGGAGAGGGAAAGCTGCAAGGATTGGATGGAAAGAGCTGGCACCCTGCTCCTCCTCAATGTTTTCACCCCACACATAGGAAGACCACATGAATACGGCAACATCTAGGCCTATGGAATTGGCTAGATGTGGGAGTTTTTATGTGTTTGTGGTGTGGTGGTTAGAGTGTTGGGCTGGGATCCTGGACAATCTCAACTTGACCATAAAGCTCACTGGATGACTTTGGGCCAGTCACCTTATAGTAATGAAACAGTTCCCAAGTTCTATCAGAATGCAGAGTGTCCTTCCTTCCCTCCTTCTTTCCTTCTTTCCTTCTTTCCTTCTTTCCTTCCTTCCTTCCTTCCTTCCTTCCTTCCTTCCTTCCTTCCTTCCTTCCTTCCATCCATCCATCCATCCATCCATCCACCAATTATGCACAATCAAAAATGGTAGGTCATACTTCTTGATTAGGGTTAAATAGGAAATTTATTTACTTTGCATTTTAATGCAAATTTGCTTCATTTCACATGTTCAAAGTAATATGTTACCAAGTCTCAGTTCCCTTTAGAAATCTTCCTGTCTCTGAATTTTGCAATATAGTTCTCCTATAAAAATGCATTGAGCAATCTTTACTATGGAAAAGTAGAACTGTTTTAAAGTTATTCATGGAAATAAAATTAACATGCATTAAGAATATCACTTGTAAAAATGTGCATATCAAACAAACTTGTATACAAACTGCAAACCCCTCTCCGCCAAGTTTGGGCTAAACTGAATTCAAGATTGGAAGAATGAGAAACTGGGAAAATCCAAAATTGACAGATTTGTCCATCCTTTATATTGATACGTAATCTATATAATATTGTATAACTTGGAGTTACTAAAGTGGTGCCTTGTGAAGCCCTTGGCTAAGAAGAATTTTGAAAGTTAGTGTTCATGGCCTATAAGCTCTAGGATGTTAGCATTTAAGAAATCCAAGCCAATTTGGCTCTACTTGCTGTATTTCTAAGAAGACTCTCTGGTCTGCATTAGCCACTATAATACAAAAATCTAAAGTTAAATAAACAGCACAAAATCCAGTAAACTATTTCCTAATGTTGCAGGACAGATTCTGGAAAACAGGGTGGCATGGAAGGCCACGGCTTTCATCATCAATAGGGGCAGAAGTGGATCCAAATTAAACCTAGGCCCATCCTTCCCAGACTGATAAGCTTGGTCCATGAAACTTGGTCTTATAACTAGGGTTGAAAGGAGAGTTCCATCAAAATGTATCTTTTGTTATCACTTTGCAAAATACTGGTGACATTTGCTGGCTTTCACAGCATTGTATCTTGAACCGCACAAAATCTTGTAGTACCCACATATTTCTCCAGTTTTACAGATATTGTAGGAGAGCTGCTGCATAAGTTAACTTTAACTTAATACTGACTCAGGGCATACTGTAGTTATGGTACTTGTGGAGCTGCTAATATGATCATTTGACCATCATGTCCTCCCCACCAACACTGAGGGAATTCTGATTCAGTGAGGGTTTTCCCCAGGTAGTTCTCCTTTCCCCTCTTCCTCCCGATCCTCCTCTGCTTGCCCTTCTGGTCCAGTTCACACACTATCCAGAAGGAAGGGAGGGAGGTGCATGGAGGATCCTTCACCTTGCTTTTGTCACTACTCATTTTCTTTAAGGGAGCAGGTGAGCAGGTAGTGACAAGGACGAGGAGTAACAGGATCAAGAGCCGATGTGGTTTGATAGTGGGGCTTGGGGTGGAACATGGGCTCAGCTGGTGCTGAACAATGCCAGTCCCTAACACGGGCTCTTGATTTCTCTTTCACTCTCCGCATAGGACTACAGTTTCCATGATTCCTTAAATACAGCATCCCTTGATAAATTAGTAACATGGACCAGCCTTGAGCCACAGGATCTACTTCACAATGTATAAAATTAAGGAAATGATCACAAGTATCTTGGATGGGCCTATGCTACCCTGGAGGTACCCAATTTGTGATGAATCTGCTGTTTGCATTTGGAAGTGCCTAAAACTTCATGAGGAAATGCCCAATTTTCCAGGATTGGAAAAAAAACAACAACTTGAAGAAAAGATTTTAAAAAGTTTCACAGTTAATGAGGCTCTTAACTTTGAAAAGTTCCCTGTAGTAGCTGAATTTCTTCAACTGAGTTTGAAAAGTATAGGTTTTTTATTGTATAAAAAATTAGCCTGTAAAAAGAGAGAATGGTGCCATCAAGTAAAACATACAACTTAAGGCATTCCTTGAAAAGCCTCATTATGGCACAATGGTGGGGTTTTGACCTGAAGCACAGGCTTTCTGGTAACTAACATAATAGTAACCAAAAAGAGAATTAACATTTGGCAGGGGACAAAGTTCTAAATATTGTGTACCTTTCACTGGATGCACAAACCGTCACTAGAGGACTTACAAAGACTTCTCTTTGTAACTCAGCAAAAGAAATTTGCTGCCAGTCTTTAAGCCTTTATCAAATTAATTGTCTCAACATCACAACTGCTTTTGGTTTCTACAAACCTGATTTTGGTTTCAATCTAAACCTGCTCTGAAATGTGTGAACAGCTGGTTTTTGAAGACTGTATGAAGAGCTGGTGCATTCTACCTTTTGAACAGATAGTCTCTCCGCCATATTGTCTATGGCTATGACTGGGAAAATGTGCAGTTGACCGCACTCAATACACAAGATCTTCATTGGGTTCTAATCCATACAGCTCCGCTAGCATTTTAAACCTAGGACCCCAGTCATTCAGAAAGTCATAATCAATGTCTGAGTCTGAGTCAGATCCCAAAGAGCTCAGGGATTCTGCAATAGACTCAGCACCTTCATAACCAAATATATGGAGGGTATCATATGGCAACAAATCCCCATCATTGTCCGCTTCATCTTTTTTCAACTCAATCATAATGCCCATTTCTCCAGTGCCTGACAGTGCATGTCCAGGACGCTTCTGTAGCTGGGAGTGATCACAGGGCATGGCCTTCATGGTCATCCTTGGCGAAGTCATGCCTCTTTGGCGGACTGAGTTGAGGACAGACACATCATAGCTGGTGGTGTCCATTTCACCACCACCTTCTTCATCATAGGCCACTAGCTGCTCATGGATTTCTTCTACATTTTTCCTGAGAACATTCAGATCTTTTTTCTGATGCTTCCTCCAGACCATTAACAGGATAATCGCTGTAGACAAAACAGTCGAGTATAGACATAACCATAAATTAGTTACAAAATGGAAAACACACAAAAAATTGTAGTACCTGACTACAACTTGAGGAAGAGCTTTTAGAAAGAAAACAACAAGAGAGTAGTGAGAGTTGTGAATTCGTATCTTTCTGGAAGTTTTCTCTGAGGCAGGAATCAGAATGTCATGTAATTGGCTTATCTCACTGTAATTAAATCATTCACTTTGAAGTCTGATGAATATATTCATTGAAAAGTGGATTAGACAGAAATCCTATGGCCCCCGGCTGAGCACGATGGCTCAGAAAACACCTTCCAAGGCTGAAGAAAGCATGCTGACCTCAGAAAGGGGAGTTGGAGATTCTCCCTTGCTCTTTGCAGCCAGTGTGGGAAGAATCACAAGGGATGCCGTATGAGGCGACACTGAGGGAACTGGGTCTCTTCAGCCTGGAGGAGACTCAGAGGGGATATGTTGGCGACATACAGGTATGTGACGGGATGTCACATGGAGATGGGTAGAGACCTGTCCTTCCCTGCAGAGGAAGGCAGGATGCGCTCCAATGGAGCAAAGCTCAGGGGGCCAAGGTTCCGTTTGGATGCCAGGAATCACTTCCTGACAGCCAGGACCCTGAGGGTGTGGAATGGGCTTCCATGAGAGGTCGTTGAGGCCCCATTGGTGCAGGTGTTCAAGGAGAGGCTGGACGTCCACATGGTGGGCATGTCATGAGCAGAGCCAGCTGGTGCCAGAGGTCAGACTAGATGGCAAGCTTTCCTCTCCAACCCTGCCCTCCCAGGCTGAAGAAGGGAAGTGAAGAAATGTGAGAATGTATTTACCGAGGAGGAGCAGAATGCAAACAAAAATGGCTACCAGCGTAGGGATGGCGACTCCAACTTGTTTAGCACTCTCTTCACAAAAAGTGAAATTGCCTTCTTCATCACACTTGCAGACATGGATGGTGAGGGTGCTCGTGCCGCTCTGCTGGGGTAAGCCATTGTCGGAGATGACAATTGACAAGTAATGGGTTTTGACGAGCTCTCGATTAAACTGTCCGTACTTGACGGTGACATTTGCGGTGTTATCTGGGGAAAGCAATGACATCTTATTAAGTGATAATCTCAAAGGGTGATTGCCTTGTAGGATTACCTTCCAGCCCCCACAGGTCCAGCTCTTGGAGTTGAGCAATGTTTTAAAGAACCCCAAAAATGTTCGGGTGGCACCTTCTTGATAGAGGTAGTAATCTCAGTTCCTACACATAGGAATAGAACCCCCAACCTTCCTTCAGGTTGGTCAGAAAGCCATATTTGGAATATGTTTCATCAGCATTTCAACCATGCTTCCTTCTTGCTGTCTTGTGAAACCCATAGGGACATACCATTATTGTCAACCAGAGTGAAGTTGCTGTCTTCGGACACCAAGGAATACTTGAATTCCACTCCTGGCAACATTTCATCTTTATCCACAGCAGAAATTCTGATGATCACCTACATGACAAAAGGTCAGTGCCTTTAATTAGGTTCAGTGCATGCAAAGGACAGTTGCAGGATAAATAAAAGGAGCACTTTTTCACAGAGTACATAGTTAAACTATGGAATTCATTGCCACAGTAAGTAGTGATGGCCACCGGTTTGGTTGGCTTTAAAAGATTGATGGGTTGGATCAATTCATGGAGGAAAATGCTCTTAGCCTGACTGGCTAGGTACTACCCCAATCTTTCGGGGGTGGTAGATGAGTTGCAGAGGAGCTTGGGCAGACAAAACTTTTCTACCCATCCTGCTTGAGGAAATCTGTGGGCAGCTGGTTTGGCACTGCATAAATGGAGGGCTGGACTGGGTGGGCCCTTGCTCTGACCCAACATGGCTTTTCTTAGGTTCTTAATCCCAAGAACTTCACAAGGACCTCCATGTGGGACTGATTTGTGTGCAGCAAAGACAGACATGTGCAGCACAAAAAGTGAGTATGGCTTTAGGCTATTAAATCATATTTTCTGTCTCATTCAAACATGCACAGAGTCTGAAGTACAATTTTATAGTATACTATTGTTGCATAATGCAGAGCTTTGATACTTTGAACAGTTTTTCTATTGGTCAATTATTGTTGATGGTTTTCTTTGCAGTAAGGATTTTGTCTGTCATATCGTGCTGTTTCTTATACAGATGGCTTAAATATCATTTGTGAATTCTATATTTATTTATTTAGACGTTTGGTTTTTAATCACCATGGGCGAGTTCCCTAATGCTTCTGTTCCAAGTAATAGACGTTTACAACCAGAATTAGGCTACAGTCCTATGGCATTTACCTTGGAGCAAACTTTATTGAAATCAATAGGACTTAATTCCAAGTAGGCTTGCAATCAATCCATTGAAATCTATGGGACTTAGCATCCCACTGGGTCAATCCACAGTAGCACTAAGTCTGGACTGAATCTGTTATTTAATCCTGTTCATGTTCTAGTCATAGACACTTTAAATCTGCCATTTTGGCACATACTGTGAGAGAGGGAATGTGAGAGAAAGGAAGTTTGATTTCAAACTTCTTTGGGATTAATTATCTGGCATTCGGAGCTTTTTGCAGTGCTGTGCTTTGCTGCTTAATCTTGATGAAGGTTTCTGTTCATTGTAAGGCTCATACACTGGTAGGAGAAATGCTGAGAGCTGTGCTTATTAATTTGTATGGCTGCCTGAAGTTAAGTAGAAATGCAAATTGTTTCTGAAGCTTTACCTTTCCTGGTGCTGCATTTTCACACACAGTAGGATCGGAAGTTAATGAAACTTCTGGCGCATTGTCATTTATATCATCAACTTTAATGTAAACTGGTACATGGCTTTCCAGTTTAGAGATTGGGATTTCTGGAACAAGAAGTACAAAATCACAGATTCATCATTCATCATTAGTTGTAGAATGTTGTCCCATGGTAAGCAGGCAGAGGCAAATGGAGTTCAGACCACATAGGCGTGGTGTCGAATGTATGACCCATTTTGGCAGGCCCATGGACGCATCATGGACGATTAGCTAAATGTTTGCATGGATCTGTAAGGGCTTGTGATCTGGAACCCTAGAAAAGCAGGGTTCTAGATTGCACAAAGAACCATGCACGCACGTAGTTCTACACACATCATATCCTTGTTAGCACTCAGTCAAATACAAATAGGTGTGCTAGCTTACCTTATTTTGCCATGTTTATTTATTTATTTAAAGTTTTTGTATGCCGTACCCTTGCTATATAGCCTCGGGACGGCTCACACAAATAAATAAATATTATACAAATACAGAAAAAAACCTGGAAACACCCTGGCTGCACAATTAAAACCTGTAAATATTATATGTTGTTAAAATATTGTTTGAATAAAAAGGTCTTAGCTTGGTGCTGAAAAACAAATAACGACGGCGCCAGGCGGACCTCTCTGGGGAGCGCATTCCATAGGTGGGGCTCCACCGCAGAGAAGGCCCTCCTCCGGGTACTTTGCTTCCTGATGTCTCTCATGGAAGGCTCCTGGAGGAGGGCCTCTGCTGCCGATCTCAAGGGACAGGAGGGCAAATATCAAAGCAGGTGTTCCTTCAAGTATCCAGGTCCCAAGCCATTAAGGGCTTTGTAGGTGATAACCAGCACCTTGAATTGAGCCCAGACTTCGATGGGGAGCCAGTGAAGCTGGTAGAGGACTGGGGTTATGTGAGAGTAATGCCCAGTCCCCATCAGCAACATGGCTGCTCTGTTTTGCACCATCTGAAGTATCCGGACTGTCTTCAAGGGCATGTTGCCTGATCATGCTGCAGTGAATGCACATTGTGATCTCATTGCGCGAAGTTCCATGAAATTGAATTCGAAGGTGAACTGAACTGCTGGACTGTGTTGCCTTTGAAGTGATACCAGGAAATAATAGAACAGGATTAGTTCAGGGATGGTTTATTGACACAGGCACATCACCGCTTGAGTTGGCAACAATGCTGATAACCTAGAGTGGCCCAAAAGTCCACAAAATGTGGCCAGAAGAGCCTTTGCTCCATTTGCACTGCCTTATCTCACACCCCTCTCAGGTTATAGTGAAGCTCAAAATGAAACTGCCCTGTGCCCTTCGAATGAGAGGAGAAAGGGTAGGATATTAATGCAAAAATAATATTAAACACCAGGTTATTTATTCTGGCCTAAAGTTGCATGGGCATTGTCCATTTCCTTAGGCGCATGAAGTAAACTCAAATTAGCTGGAAGCTGTGGGGGAGAGGATCTTTCATACTGGGAATCTGTTTTCTTTCAGAAGATGCTTGGTTTATACATTTAATAAATAAATAAAGACTGATCTTTATGGGAAAGTGACTGAAAGCTATTATTAAAGGAAATAACCCCAACAGACACTGTCAGATAATTTTGAATATAACCAAACAGCAAGCCTGAATTTTGTGCTGCAAGTCCTTTCCCTTCCATGTCCCCACACCCCACTGAAATCTGGCCTCTGCCACTGCACTTTGTGCCAGGATCCCACGAGTGGCTTCAGGGTGGGGAAAGCCACCCCGTTCTCTGCCTGCTGCAGATGTACACAGTGGTCACCTTTGTTCTTTCCTTGGTGCACCTCTTCACTTTGCAAAACTGACATGTTTGCCCCGATGAATCATTATCTGGTTTTGGTTTGCACTCTTTGGCATAGCCCTACAAGAAGTTGGCAACCATTTAAGGGCTAGATTTTTTTTTTTTGGCTTTTTGGCATGGGCGCATACCATGATGTTGGCATAGCATTGAAAAGGGCCACCACCAGAATGGGTGAGACAGTGTGGGCCCCTGCTGGGACTGGGGTGATGCTGGCCCACAGAATTGGTCCCATCTACTTGGCAGCAGGATGTTCCAGTTTGTTAGATGCTGATAGTTTACAGTCATGAGATAATTCCACACAAAGTAGATCCCAAGATGGAATGGTTCTCATGGCACTGCGACGTATAACAATGGAAAGGTCCTTGAGAACTGGGCGAGAGAGGGAGGGAGGGTATTTTGCCTGTTTACCACAAATGACATGGAAACTCTAGGTCTTGTGGGTGGTGTATCTCCAAGGTGACTTACTGTTCTGGTCCAATTCATTTGCTGCCACTGTTATGTTATGCCAGGAGATTTCTTCTCTATCCAGACGCCTTGTGGCAAAAATACACCCCGAGGAGGATATTTTGAAATAAGTTGATCTTAGGATACTATATCTGTGTTGGGTATTTCAAAGGAAAAAAAGTGTTAATGTTTTTGTGCAAAATAATCTGACCCTGTGTGAATTATCCTGTGCTTTCACTACAGATATCTGTTCAGAATAGTTTCTCAACATAGTATTTACAAGTATTATTACATTATAGCCCTGCTATGATTCAGTTGTTGTTGTTGTTGTTATTGTTGTTGTTGTTGTTGTTGTTATTATTATTATTATTATAACATTTCTATGCCGCCCCTTGCCGAAACCTCGGGGCGGCTTACAACATGATAAAATACATTGAAATACAATAGTACATAATAAATTACCATTAAATATAAAAATACAAAAAATACATTGATTTACAAATACAAAATTAAAATTATCAGTATAAAATAACAATATAGGAGGAGAAAGAGAAGGAAGAAGAAGTTGCCCCGGCCAGATCATATGTTTTAACAATTGAAATGATGTTTAAATAAAAAGGTCTTTACCTGGCGCTGAAAAACCAGTAACGACGGTGCCAGGCGGACCTCTTTGGGGAGTGAATTCCATAGGTTGGGCGCCACCGCAGAGAAAGCCCTCCTCCGGGTACTTACTCTCCTAATTTCTTTCATGGAGGGTTCCCGGAGAAGGGACTCTCCCGCAGATCTCAAAGGGCGGTGGGGCATATACGGACGTAAGCGCTCGTTCAGGTAGCCAGGACCCAAGCCGTTTAGGGCTTTGTAGGTCATAATCAACACCTTGAATTGGGCCCGGGCTTCAATGGGAAGCCAGTGAAGCTGACGGAGGACTGGAGTCATGTGAGCATAACGCCCCGTCCCCGTCAGCAACCTGGCAGCTCTATTTTGCACCAATTGAAGTGTTCGGACTGTCTTCAGGGGAAGCCCCACGTAAAGCGCGTTACAGAAGTCTAGGCGGGAAGTCACCAGCGCGTGTGTCACTGTCGCCAGGCAGTCGTACTCCAGGTAGGGGCGCAGCTGATTAATCAGCCGAAGCAGAAGGAAGGCGTTCCTCGCTACCGCTGTCACCTGAGCTTCCAAAGAAAGCTCCGGGTCGAGGAGTACTCCTAAGCTGCGGACCTTATCCCTAAGAGGGAGTGTTGCACCATTCAGGACCAGGTCAAATCCACCCTCTCCGAAACCCGATCCGCCAACCAACAGGACCTCCGTCTTGTCTGGGTTGAGTTTCAGTTTATTGGCCCTCATCCATTCCCTTACCTCGGCCAAGCACCGGTTCAGCACAGCCACTGCCTCACCTGGATTAGTGGAGAATGAGAGGTAAAGCTGGGTATCATCAGCGTATTGATGATTCCGCAGCCCACACCTCCTGATGACCTCTCCCAGCGGTTTCATATAGATGTTAAATAGCAGAGGGGATAGAATGGAGCCCTGTGGTACCCCATGGCATAGCTGCCATGATGTAGAGACATGGTCCCCCAGCACTACCTTCTGGAATCGACCGTCGAGATAGGAGCGGAACCACTGCAAAGCAGTGCCTCCAACCCCCAATCCCGCAAGTCTATCCAGAAGGATACCATGGTCGATGGTATCGAAAGCCGCCGAGAGGTCCAGAAGAACCAACAGGGATGTACTCCCCCTGTCCTTCTCCCTGCACAGGTCATCGTACAGGGCGACCAAGGCAGATTCAGTACTGTACCCGGGTCTGAAGCCGGACTGAAAAGGATCCAGATAATCAGTTTCATCCAAGAGTGCTTGGAGTTGTCCCGCCACCACTCGCTCCAACACCTTGCCCAGAAACGGGATGTTGGCCACAGGTCTATAGTTAGTGGCCATCTCTGGATCCAGTGACGCTTTCTTCAGGACCGGTCGTATTACCGCCTCCTTTAAAGGGGCAGGCACTCGACCCTCCCTCAGAGAAGCGTTAACCACTTCCAAGATCCAGGTCCCAATCCCGTGCTTGGAGTTATTTATTAACCAAGACGGGTAAGGATCCAATAGGCAAGTGGTGGGACGTACTCTTCCAAGCACCTTGTCCACATCATTGGGCCGCAATAATTGAAATTCCTCCAATAATTTTGGACCAGACGGTGGCATTGGCGACTCCTCAGAGACCTCTGATTCATTAGTGGAGTCCAGCTCGTGACGAATCTGAGCGATTTTCTCCCTGAAATGCCTGGCAAAGTCGTCACAGCGGGCCTTTGAGGGTGTCATCGGATCTTCCTTAGGACCCAGGCGAACCAGGCCTTGCACCACTTGAAAAAGCTCCGCTGGACGGCATTGTGAGGAGGCAATGGAAGCGGAAAAAAACTTCTTTTTCGCCGCCTTCACCGCCACAGCATAGGCCCGATAGTGGGCTCTCAAGTGTGTTCGGTCAGATTCATCCCGTGATTTCCTCCACCTACGCTCTAGCCGTCTCCCAGCTCGCTTCATCGCCCGTAATTCAGGTGTATACCAAGGGGAAGAGCGGACTCTGCCTGGTGGGAGAGGACGCTTAGGAGCGATCGTGTCCACAGCCCTGGTCATCTCTCCGTTCCACAGTTCGACCAGAGCCTCGACAGGAGCACCAGTCTTGTCCACCGGAAACTCCCCCAGGGCCCCCAGGAATCCATCCGGATCCATCCGGCTCCGGGGGCGGGCCCATACAATCGGGTCCGCACTCTTATAGAGGGAGAGGCCGCTCTCGAGCACAAACCTCACCAGGAGGTGATCTGACCATGACAGGGGAGTCAAACTTAAGTTCTTCACCCTCAGGTCATCCTCTACCTGCCCCGTCGTGAATACCAGGTCCAGAGTGTGTCCACGTTCATGGGTCGGGCCAATGACGTGTTGAGACAGGCCCATGGCCGTCATAGAGGCCATGAAGTCCTGAGCCGCCCCGGTCAGTCCAGACTCGGCATGGAGATTGAAGTCCCCCAGGACCAACATCCTGGGGGTCCTCAACACCAGGTCCAAGACGGTCTCTGTCAGCTCAGATAGGGAGACTGCTGGGCAGAAAGGTGCACGGTACACCAGTAGAATCCCCAATCTGTCTCGTTCGCCCAACACCAAGTAGAGGCACTCCAGCCCTGGTCTCAAAGGGACCGGAAGACCCGTGAGAGAGATGGAGGCTCTGTAAACCAGCGCGACTCCCCCTCCCCTCCCTTCTGGGCGTGAACAGTGTTGAACCAGATACCCGGGCGGGCACAATTGGGAGAGGGCAACATCCCCTCCCTCTCCCAGGTCTCCGTTACGCAAGCCAGGTCGGCCCCCTCATCCACAATCAGATCATGGATGAGGGAAGATTTATTATTGATCGACCTGGCATTGAGCAGCAGCACCGTCAGACCCGAGGGATGGTTGACAAGGCTACCTGGTGCCCTCTGGTTGGGGGCAGGATCAGAAGGAGGGACAGGTGTCAGCCATCTGTCCATCCTTCTTCTGCGTGGACACGTTAAGCCCCTATTGTTGTAATGACCATTGCCCGTGACCACGCCAATAGCAGCCCCCGTGGGTTCCCCAGGATATATAAATGTCGACATGGCCAGGAATGACTCAAAGCACTGATTAAAGCAGGGTAAGATTATAAAGTAGGTCGAAAGAGGAGAAAAAGAACGATAAAAAGAAAAAAGAAAAAGGGGATCCTTCCTCTTCCCTGAGAATCAGCTGTAGGCAAGCCTATTTCAACAAGAGTCCATGGCCAGCCCAGCCCCCCTCTCGTCCCCCCGAACGGTACCCCAAACGGCGGCGACCCCTTTGGTCGCCGCCCTTCGGCCGCCGGCCCTTCGGCCGCCGGCCCCGGCCATTGCCGCGGCTTTGACTCCGCAGGGCGCCTCCGTGACCCGCCCTGTCGTGCACCGCGCGCGCCCGATCACCTAGGCTGGGGGGCGGCGCTCTCCGGCGCCGCGTGCGGCCGCGCTGGCCGGTGGAGCTGGCTGCCGTCAAGGTCGCAGCCGCGTGCATCTGCCTGCATTCGCTTGCCCGGGAGCGGCGTGATGCTGGAGGTGGGCGGAAGCGTTTCTTGCAGCGCGGGTCGGTGTTTCCTGCCTGGGGGGCCGTTCCCTCCTGGCCGTTGCCGCGGCTTTGACTCCGCAGGGCGCCTCCGAGACCCACCCCGTCACGCACCGCGCGCGCCCGATCACCTGGGCCGGCGGGCGGCGCTCTCCAGCACCGCGTGTGGCCGCGCTGGCCGGTGGAGCTGGCTGCCGTCGAGGTCGCAGCCGCGTGCGTCTGCCTGCATTCGCTTGCCCGGGAGCGGCGTGATGCTGGAGGTGGGCGGAAGCGTTTCTTGCAGCGCGGGTCCGTGTTTCCTGCCTGGGGGGCCGTTCCCTCCTGGCCGTTGCCGCGGCTTTGACTCCGCAGGGCGCCTCCGTGACCCGCCCTGTCGTGCACCGCGCGCACCCCATCACCTGGGCCGGCGGGCGGCGCTCTCCGGGGCCGCGTGTGGCCGCGCTGGCTGGTGGAGCTGGCTGCCATCGAGGTCGCAGCCGCGTGCGTCTGCCTGCATTCGCACATTCTCATGAATATTATTGGGGCTATAATATTATTGCTAGGGTTGTGAATCCCTAGTGGATCAGCTAAATCATGGTAGGCAACTATTTTGTCCCCGAAGGGCCACAAACAGTGATCAGGAAAGTGACTGGGTTCAGATGACTTTATAACCAACCTTCAAGTGTTGAATATGGGTTGAGTATGGGTTGTCACTGAGCGACAAATTGTAGAACATTCATTATGGTTATTATTGAAGTTTGGGTTATTGTGCTGTGTGAACCCAGGCAAGATAAACCATGATAAACCATCCATAATTCACAACCCCCAAACAATGCATGAGTTCTCTTCATGATACACAGGTCACAGTCTTCCACACTGGCTCAGTTTGGATGATTAAATGTGGCTAACAAGACTTGGGTTGTTAGGGGGCAGATGCTTGAGCACTCAGGCTACAATGTCTCCTGCGTTCAGAAACAACCCAAGAACACAGTCCTGCTTGCTGCTGAGATGTGTGAATCCAGCACTCTGTACTGTTGAGAGTTAAGCTACTTGGATATTGAACCCATTGTTTATCACTGGATTGAACTTCTTGGTTGTTCAGCCCAAAAAACCCCAAGAGTGCCAGGGTCACACACCACACTGGAAGCGGCAAACAGATGGGAGACTGTTTACGCCTTCACTCCCACATGGCAACACCAGTCCCTTGGTTGTCTAGCTTATGTTTCTACTTAAATTCTACAAACTATTTCTGCACGTACATAGAAATGATCACATGCAATTAAAAAATTGATGCTCTTTTGGTGTTGCATTTCTTCTCTTTTAGTGAGCCCTAAGTGTCCCCCACCCCAGTTAACATATTCAGATTCGAAATTACCTGATCTCCCGTTTTGCTTTATCAGGATCAGTAGCAGAAACACATCCAATTGTCTTTTTGATATCACTTTCTTCTTGCACTCTGAATGTATATGAAGATTGGTGAAAGACAGGAGGTTCATCGATGTCAAGGACTTTGATGTTTACTTTTGCAAGGCTCTTGGGCCCTTTCTTTTTGGAATGTGCATGGTGAATAGTGGCATCAGTTGCCTCGACAATGAACTGGTAGGAGGAGATCTTTTCAAAGTCCAGTGGCTAAATGAAAATGCAGACATACTCAGTTACACAATGCACACAATGAGAGACCTGTGGAATTGTCTTTCCATGATTTTGGCAGCCCACCCACTTTCCCCATCCAGAACCCTGATGATTTGGTGGCTTCCTGGATTTTGAATACCCCTCCTCTCACTCCAACAGGTTGAAATGCCCTTCTCGAGGCTTCATTACTGGCTGCAAGAGCTTCAAGCTCCAATATGCTAGCATTTTTCCACTGGCCCAGCCACCACCAGAATATAGCCCCAGGGACTTCTCCAAATCTGAATTCATCCCACATGCTGAAAATGGATCCCCACCCCTACTATTTAATTCAAAATAGTTAAGAATGCTGCTGTTGACAGTGGCTTGTTATTCAGAGCACGTGAGGCTGTTTCTGATATGATGCCAAATCCCATTTGATGTGCTGAGCACAGTCTTCAGAGCCTGATATGATTTGGGCCTGTCACATCTGAATGAGTGCCTGCTCCCACAGGATTCTCCCTACTTGTTGAGACCTGTGTGCTGATGCCATCTGAGTGTGTGTGTGTGTGTGTGTGTGTGTGTGTGAGAGAGAGAGAGAGAGAGAGAGAGAGAGAGAGAGAGAGAGAGAGAGAGAGAGATGTGTGTGGTGAGAATGCAGGCTCTATTCTCTTTGGAGGTGGCTCTAGAACATTCTCAGGTAGGACACTTATCACCTTTCTTCGCAGCCTTCAGAAAGATCTGTGCTGGCCTAACCTTTGAAGAGCCCTTGGCTGTTCATGTGGAGAAAATGGTCTTCATAGTGACTGAATTACAATTTATTGTATTGGGTTTTATGGGACTAAACAATAACCTTGCACGTTTAATAGTAAAGTTTTATTACTGCATTTTTATGCTTGTATTTTGTTTGACTTCTTGGGTGGAGTTGGCCCAGAAAGATGATTCATAAGCATTTAAATACATATAAGGAAATAGATTTCATTGACTATCTTTGTAAATATCAGTTAATATCTAGACAGTGTACCTTCTTCAGTCGAATGATTCCTTCATTTGTGTAGCGATTTGGTTCTATTTTAAAAGTATCATGATAAGATCCACGGACAAAACTGTACTTTGTATCTCTGTTCTCTGGCTCATCAATGTCTTCAACTTCCAGTCTACCAACTTCACCATTTATTCTGACATTTTCAGGGACCTCAAAATAGGAGGTGTCTGGAAAATAAGTACATCGACACAGCAAAATTAGAATATGCATTCTTCCAAATGAAAGGAGGAAGTAAGCGGCCAAGGGAAGGATGGGTTCTGGTGCATGAAGTATGGATGATTTGAATTTACTCTATTTCATGGGAGCACTATCTGTAAGGATAGAGTAGCTAGCTATGTATGCTATGAGCTAGCTTTAAGTGCAAAAATGTGTTCTTTGAAACAGGGCAAAGAAGCTTGCCGCAGGTAGGTTGGTTAATTCTTGGAAGTATAGTGGTACCTTGGCTCATGGACTTACTCCATTCCAGGACTCTGGTCATGACCCAAATTGGTCATGAGTCAAGTCAAATTTCCCCATAAGGTTCAATGTGAATAAGGTTAATCCATTCTATAACTATTTTTTTAATCACAAAAATTTAAAGCAAAGTGACAAAGAACAACAAAGATCATGGCCATCTCTCCCCCTCCACCCCAGCACAATCATGGCCATAACTTCCCCCTGCATGACTGCAATCACACCTGTGTTCCCTGCACGAATGCAATCACGATTGCGGCCATAGATGGGTGGGATTGTGGGTGCGCTTGAGGGGAGAGGGGTGTGATCATGGGTGTGCTCGGGGGGTGGGGAGACAGGCACAATCACGATTGTCACCTGATGTGGAGTTTGCGACCTGAGGCAAAAGTTTTCAGAAATTTCTGTTCGCGATCCGATTTGGTCGTGAACTGAGGCATTTGTGAGAAGAGGTACCCCTGCTTCTGAAGGGGCCACATCAGGGAGAGGTTTTCTTCTGGTCATGAGTAGAAGCTATGATGACAAATCCTTAAGATGCATAAATGTGTGTTTATGATAAAGGAATCAAAACTCTAGCTAGGTAAATTTTTAGAACTGGTGATATTTTGATATGGCTGACCAGAGAAATCATGGGAGAATGAGAATTCTACCAAGCATGGCTAAGTTCTGACAAGCATGACTGCCAGATAGGTAAATATGAGATTTTAGTGAGGATTGTTTTACTAGTAAAAACTTCAATTTTACTAAGCAATAGAATTTCTATTATGCTTCTAATAATCTGAACTGCTTTGCATGTTGTACTGTGTTTTGCTTGTTTCATCATTGTAAAGTGTTGTTATTCTCTCCGTATACATATTATGGGATTACTTTGGGTTATCTAGCTTGAGGGACTTTGGCTCATTAATTAATACTTGAAGCCTGGAACACTCAGCAGGGACTTAAACGTCTCTCGCTGAGTACGATCTGTCCATACAGCTGCTGTTTTCTTTCTTGTGGAAGTTAGACACAGACACACTTGTTCAGGTAAGGGAAACCCGAACCCAAAGCAAACAGTTTTAGAGATGGGACTAAAAGCATGACTGGCTGCGTAGCCCCAGGTTTGCATTGCTCTTTCATGCAAGTAATGTCTGAACAGGGCTGCAGAAAGTTACTTTCAGCTTTTCTATAGCCTGAAGTACCTGATACTGCCTTATCCTGGAAGCTAAGCAGGGTTGGGACTGGTTGAAATCTGGATGGGTGACTTAAAAGGTTGTGAACTGCCCAGAGAGCTTCAACTATGGGCAGTATAGAAATGTAATGAGTATAATAATTGTGTGGGCAGCTTGTGTTCACCTGCAGTGTGGAAGGTGCTTATAAGATAGCAAGCATCAACTTTGGATATCTCGTTTAATCTCTTGGCTTGTAAAACTCACTTCGTTTAAATGTTGGAAAGTTGTCGTTGATGTCAATCAATCTAATGCAGACTCTAGCTGTGCCGAGATCTTCTGAGCGAAGGCCTTGGCCATCCATCGCTTCAATCACAATGACATATGTAGCATTTTGTTCTCTGTCCAGATTAGGTACTGCTGTGGAGATTTTTCCTTAAAAACAAAAAAGTCAAATTATGTTCCTTCCACTTTTTTTGCTATTAGATTCATTGCTTTACCCAATGTCCCATTGAGAACCAGTAAGCTTGCTGGAACTACAGAGTATTGAGGATACACACACACACACACACACACACACACACACAGGTGCACATGGAAGTCTTAAGTCCTGAATTGGCAGGAAATTGTTCGACAGGATCACTTTTTAAAAAACCAAGTTCTGACTCCATACCTACCATATTTATCTATACTGAAGTACTTTTCTCCCTGAATAACTTTGTAGAAAATGTCGGCATGGCCGGTCAGTGTCGGGTCATCAGCATCGACGGCTGTCACTGTGGTGACTGAAGTCCCTGGGTGCGGGAAGAAAGTCACCAGTGATATATTTAGTATTATTACTTTACTGGAGGTGAGCACATTTCAGCCCCCTGCCGGCTAGTCTAACCCCACCCCCACCCCCCAGGTTTAGACTCTCTTCCGGTAATAGGAAGCTAATTAGAGGAGTGATCACTATATTGAAACTAAAATGAAAAACGGGCTTTCTTGAACTGGATCTTCTCTGCTCCTCATGTGCTAGTTAATCCATCCTCCATCATGATAAGGATGCTTTTGCAGACTTTGGTCCTGATCCATCAAATAATATGTGGAAATATGATTCTCTGTGCAGGAACATTCTAGATTAGAGGCTCTCCACCCAACCCCACCTAGCAGTCCTAGTGACTGGGGTGCTGCAGCTTGCACATTGATTTGGGGTAGGGGACGTGAGATCATTTGATCATTTGGACAATATACTAGCATAGCTTCACTCTGAAGTATCATGCAAGTGCTAAAAGAATGACTTCTTAATACACCTTTACTGTGGCACAGTAAATTCAGAATGAAGCAGGGCCTTTGGTATGCACGTGAGGATTGGAACTATTGCTTCTTGCCCTGCCTGTACACAGTGATGGCACAAATGTATGACTGGCTGCTTACCTTTGGCTCCATCAGGGGGCTTACCTGGGCCCAACTATGCTGGCTGGATGCCTCTTGGGGTAGATACAGATGAACCTCTGCTACCCAGAGGCACACACTGCAGGACACAACTGCCATGTTTCCCCGAAAATAAGACCGGGTCTTCTATTAATTTTGCTCCAAAAGATGCATTAGGGCTTATTTTCAGGAGATGTCTTATTTTTTCCTTACGAAAGCTGTAAGATTCTTGCCCTTGGCATCCTCCATGATTCCTTTCTTGTACTTGATGGAATAGTTCTTTCTTTTTGCACTCATCTTGTCTGGGGTTCAAAATATTATTCCCTTTAAATCTACCATTAAATCAGGTGTTAAATGAAGACTTACAAGACAGGAGTGGCAACACACAAGTGCATTAAGTACATTTGTTACAACACACAATGTGTTGAAATATGAAACATGTCTGCTCGTTATCAAGTGTGCACATTATTCGTGCATTGTGTCTGTACTCTGATTGGTCATTCGGCAATGAGTCTTGAGCTCATCTGTTTACATAGACATTTATCTCTCATCCACAGGTGCCCACTTGGGTATTTACAAATACTTAATTATAATTTATATTATCATTTAAATATTAATGTCAATAATATTTATTTATATTTAATTATATATTAATACTATTATTTTATAATTCAATATGTCCCTCGTGTGTTGCAATGGATGGACTAAATGCATCCGTCTGGCTGACTATCTTAAGTGGGGTTTATTTTTGGGGTAGGGCTTTTATTACGAGCATCCTGAAAAATCATGCTAGGGCTTATTGTCTGGTTAGGTCTTATTTTGGGGGAAATGCGGTAGTTCCACGTGGCTACAGTGCCTTGGTGTTGTAGTCTGTCTTTAGAAAGCATTGGGCATGAGAAGGCAAGGGAAGATCACAGGTTGTTTTCTTACTATATCTGGCTAGTACTGGCTCCATGGTTTTGAGGACCCTTCAGGAAGACACCCTCAGTGGGAGTCTATCTTCTCTCCACTACCATCACCACTCACAAGTGTTCCCAGTTTTCTCCATCATCACTGCTACCCCCTGCTCCCTTGACAGTGAACATATAGGCAGCACATGCCACCTATTCACCAGCACCACCATCTGGGCCATTGTGAGGGGCATGTGAACAAACAGGTTGCAGTGATGAAGAGGAGAAGCAAGTCTTGCCAGTGAGCCCCTTGCTAGCGTGTGATCCCTCAGCAGGTGCTGGACCGTGCCTACTCCTGCTGCTGGCCCTGTGTCTCACAGATACTGTACATGGTCCTACTTATTTTTATTTGGTTAGGACTTTCTCTTCTTGAATGCAAACACATAAACATATTTTTGTTTAATTAAAAAAGAAGTAAGAAGCTTACCTACTGGTGACATTTCTGCAACAGACCCATTAAACACTCTTTGTTCAAATATTGGGGCATTATCATTAACATCTTGGACCACAACACGAAATTTGGATGGCTCCTCCAAATGATTTTGGTTGGTTCGATCAAGAATGAGAGCGGTCAACTCATATTCAGCTTTCTTTTCTCGGTCTAGCCTCTCAGTTGCAGACACATCTCCAGTACGGTCATCAACTCTGAATACAGTCCCGGCCCCTTCACCTTTGATAACGTACATAGCATTGGGATTCTTTATGGTTGATTTGATCTAAAAAGTGGGATTAAGACTTTAAGTGAAATTAAAATCTAAAAGCAGAACAACATGGAAAAAGCCAAAATGTAATTCTAGAGACATTGTGGTAGTGAGTAGTCTGATCTTGGAATATGCGCCATAATCAGTCTCTCCTCTGCCTCAAAGGAGGATTCAGGGAGGAAGTTTACTTCATCCAGTCACCCATTTTCTTCTGGAACCTTCAAGCCTAGATGATGTGGTTTCCTCACCATCTCCACCTTGTAAGAGCCTGGGACTGCAGGACTGGACAATTGTCCCTCAGAGGAGCAGTCCAGACTTGCTAGCCTTCATAAAGCTTCATAAGGTCTCTGCATGTGCTGGGACCACTGCTCCTTGTGGTTGACTTTCAACCAGTGATTTATGCAGGGTCCTGACAATCCTTGCCTTGCTTGTTGGAAACCTACATTGCTGAACCTGACCTTGCCTCACTGGAAATGACCTTACCTTGCTTCATTCGATACCACTGCTGCAATCCTTCTTCCTTAAGAGCCTTGTGCTGTACTAGGACAGGACAGACTTGGACAAGGTATATTCCTACTTATCTGTCTAATGGAGCCTTTTCAGCCCAAAGGGAGGATAGTCACATCTAGAGTGGGTTGACAAGCCTTGCTGGGTGTATCTTGGGCTGGAGATTCCCCAGTCTTGAAAGGCCAGTATGGTATGCATTGCCTGGCAGCATCTCTCCAGGGACTTGGGTATATAGTCCCTGTAGACTGTAGACTGACAACTACCAGTTTCTGAAAGCTAGCATGTCCTCCAATACTTATACAGTGGTATAGCAAGATGGAATATTGTACGTTATGGAAACTTCACTCATTGGGTTAGAAGACTGGATGACAAAAATGGGAAAACATCTTAGAACAGTTTCCTCAAACAGAGAGAGAATGGCCTAAAACATCTATTTAATATCTTTATATATTAGATGAAATAAACATGCACTTCATTCACTTTATGTGGCATCATGGACCTGCTTGCTGTTTGGATTTCTTTTGTGTGTATTTGAAATTAAGAAAGATAAAGCAGAAAGAAAATTATTCTAAGAAGTTTTACCATGCTCTCTGCTCCTTTGTACTGAATATTTTAGTCACTGAACCTGGAATCTACAGGTAGAATCTACAGGAACTCTTCCACCAAGCTACAGGCAAGTCCACTTTTAGGTCAGTCACTGACTATATAGGCTGGATCTAAGCAGTACTTGAACTTCCAGTTCTCATCTGCAAACCCAGCCCATCTCATAGATGAGGTATTGCATCAGCTCACTAACCTTCAAGTGGTAAGGTGCTTGGGCCTTCATAAACCAATTAATTTTGCTGCCTTACGAGGTAGATAGATGTGTGTGCATCAAAGAGTGGGAGGTGGAAACCTTACTTATATGTGGACTGTAATGGGCATAGCTGTCCGGTCAAAAGGGGTCTGATGGACAACCAGAGCAGAGGTGGGCAATATGGGATCCATGGCAGGGAGTCCCTTTCTTGCATCACAATCAAATGTGCCTCCCAAGGGCAGAAGAGTCCCAAGGCAGAGAAACTGGAGCAGCAGGGGAGCCACCAGCTCCCTGTGACTGGCCCTGGTCAGTAATGTGACTGCAGCATTCTGGATCAGCTGAAAGGTTTTCAGAAGCAGGCCTATTTAGAGTCTGCCCCAGAGATCCACATGCCACCATGGCCAGGCAGCCTCATGGAGGATGCATTACAGTAGCATAAATGGGAAGCAAACAAGACCGTGTCACCACGGACTTCTCTGGGGACAGAGACAGCTGTCTTTCTAACTTCTGCAGTGCAAGTGTATTCCTGGCTGCTGCTGAAGCTTGGGTGTCCAGGTTCTGGGCTGAGTCCAGGGCTACACCCCAACCACAAGACCATGTTTTCAGTGGGAGGGCAACTTCACCCAGCACAGGGTGACTCCCTATTCTCTGACATGCTTTTGGCCCTACCAGGAGCTCCTCCATTTTCTCTGGATTAAGCAAGCTTCAATTTGTCCTCATCCTGTGAATTACTGACATTAGACACCAATTTAGAACCAGAGCAGCTTCTTGGATTTTGACGGTGAGCAGAAATAGAGTTGGGTGCCAGTGGCACACTGGTGCCAATGGACCACAAAATTCTGGACAGCTCTGCCACTGGTTTCATGCATATGTTTAATAACATACATATATTTAATAGCATTTACATGTGTCAGTCAGTTACATGGTGTACATGTTGGGGTACACATCTGACACACAGAAACAATTCATAAACTTGTACTATTAACTATATGGCAATCAGGCCAAGTTTTTCAAACAGTGTTTGTAATTTGACTGAGTTTGATGTTTCTCTTGACTGAGGCAGCTGTAGCTTTTCCTCCTGCTGCACGTCAGCTGGGATCTGTCAGGCTGTTACAGGAAAGCAGATAAAGGAAGAGGCCTTTCTGGATCAGTGCTATTGACTGACACGCAGCTGGAGTGAGGCCTGTTGGTTAACATGAACCAGTTCCACAGGCCAGCTCCTTTCCCTCCCAGGAGTTGCCCCAAAGAGAGAGCTTTATTTGCAGTTTTGCCATTTGGTGTTTCTAGAAAGGAGCATGCACCTGATTCTGTTCTGAAATGTTTGTGTTAGTTCAAACCTTCAAATGCTTCATGAAAAGGTCACAGGGCTAGAGGGCTAGTGCCTTATATTGGCAGAAGTATGAAATATTAGAATTGTAGCTGTGCATCTTTCAAGAATTTTCCTTGTAGGTCCATGGCCAAAATCTCAGAACAGCTTTGTCAGCTTTTGCCTGATTTGCCAAGAATACTTAAAGATATAGGAAGCTGCTTCATACCAAGGTTGCAGACAGATATAGTCTGGCAGCTATATCTTCCTTTCATTTTTAGTGCAGAGTAGAGGCAGGAAGCCCAATCGAGTTGATAAAAGCTCCCCTACATCCTACTTCTGTAATCTGGACCAGAGCCCCTGTGCTTACTCTAGAATAAAAATGAGGGGGACAAAAGACACACGTACCAGGCACACATTTAAACTCATATCTGTTTTGGCCCTGTTTGTTTGTCTAGTCCAGTAGTGTTTTCTGACTGGTGTCTTAGCAGAGGTCTTTCACATCTCCTGCTCTCCGATCCTTGTAACTAAAAACGTAATAGATTGTAGCTGGGCCTTTCCGATTAGCAAGAAAGACAATGACCTTGATCCAAATAAATAAATTGAGACTGGTTTAGAAGTTTGCCTTCATCCAGTGATGAGGTTGACTGATGCAGGCCTTCCTCAAGACTGCTAAATCTCAATACCTGGGATATTCTGAGAATTGCAAGGTCACCTTCCAACTCAAATGATGCACAAAACTCTTCCATGGTATCACGAAGGTGAGCCATTCTAGAGGAGACCAAAGATCTCTCTAGTCCGGCGTGCTGTTCACAGAGTGACCAGTCAGTTGCTCACAGGATTCCACAAGCAGTACATGACTGCAATGGCCCAAATTCCCCAGCAACTGGTGTACATGGATATTGGTGTTACTATACAGTCATCAGGACTAGTAGCTATGGATAGCCTTCTTCTCCCCGTTTTAAAAATGTCCAACTTGTTGGCTATTACATCTCATGGAAGTGTAGTTCCCTATGTATTACATGAAGGAGTACTTCCTTGTATTTGTTTTCAATCACTCTGTGGGCTCCCCTTTGTTGTATCATGAATGTGAAGCTTCTTAGACATCTTTTGGAAGTCATCACCTGCCTACTCGTGCCATGCCCTCCTCAACTTGCTTTTAATCCCTTCATCCTGGCAGATTTTGCCCCTTCTGCAGACAAACTTGCCCTCTGCCATGGTCTCCTATCCAATGATGGCCAATGTAGGTTTCCAAATTCAGCCTTACCTTCCCAAAAATATGAGGCAATGACTTATTAAGGTTTTCATCGATGTGCATATTATTCCAGATCCATTCTCTCTTCATGCGCTTATGAATGTTGCTGCTACTGGTAGACCTTGAGAAATCTTCTCCATGAACACAAGCCAGGGCTAGTGCCATGATGAATAGAAGGAAGGAGCAGCATCTTGTCATCTTTGCAGGTCTGTTGACCTTAGGAAACCCTGTGGAACATGCAAAGCATTATTAGTTTGAGAGTTCCATCATCCACTGAAATCTACCACTAGCTTCCTTTGCTAATTTCCATTGGCAGGTTAATACCACTGCACTGGCAAAATCTTTGCAGTGAATCACCTCTGTTCCCATTTATAAGTATGTGCAAGTCTACTTCTTAATTCTGCCAACTTATCCTGAAAATAAATCAGGCTTCTCAAGCAGTGAATTCGAACATTTACCTGATGTCGAGTAAATATAAACATACTAGAATCACTCACAGATGTTTTGAAGAAACATTTACTTCTAGTATTGAGCTATTTTTTAATTTACATTTAATTTTAATTACATTTCTATAGTACCTATAAGCCAAAACTTTGAGAGGTTTGCATATGTTAAAAATCTTTAAAATATAATATTATTTATTATATGAAAACAGTCTGCACTGAAACAGATAGACAGACAGCAGACACACACACACACAAGTCATTTAAAGAATCAGTAAAGCCGTGATACTACTAAAACTTGGCCATGCGCTGCAAAATGCAAGAAAGAAGAGAAAGGTCTTGATTTGCTGCCACAAAGTTAGCATCAGGCAAGCCTCGCTGGGGAGCTCATTCCATAATTGATGGAGCCACCTCTGAGAAGTTCTCTGTGCAAACCAGCCTTGGAGGAGGCATGAATTAGATGATGAATGTCCATGCTGGGAGAGCCGCTGCATCAGATACTGTGATCCCAAGTAACTTACAAGGTTTTATAGCTGAAACCTGCAATTTCACTCAGGCTGAGAAACATCCAGGCAACCATTGCAAGCTGCCTAGGACTGGTGCATCTGTGGATTCCTTTGTCCTTGTGCTTTGTTTATTGTGTGTAAACTGTTCAGTGAGCCAGCATGGCTGAGCAAATGGTATACAATTTTAAAAAATAAGTAAATATAAAAGAATACAAGCTGCAGCTGCTGAAATGTCTTCAAACACAGCCCCACCTAGACGGCTTTGCAGCAATCTAACTTGGAGACTGCAAGAGCATAGACTACTAAAGCCACATTATCCCTGTCCAGATTCTCAGAGCTACAGCTGGTCCAACAACCAAAGTTGTAGAAGGTACTCCATGTTGCTGAGGCAAATCAGGCTGCAGGTGACAACTATGGCTCCAGAATAAAACACAAGAGATGAGCCTGCTCCTTGGGGGATACAACCCCATCCAGAACAGGTTGAGCACTCTTCATTCAGTGAGAAGAACCAACCACCATCTGTGTCTCAATCTCGCCTGAACTGAGGTTCAGACAATTAGACCTTATCTGGTCCACTCTTGCAGCCAGGCAACCATCTGGCATATCCACACCTCACTTGATAGGCTGGAAAGAAGACAGAGCCACGTGACCTCAGTATACTAATGTTTATACACCCCAAAACTCCAGATGACCACACTCAGCAGTTTCCTGTAGAAATTAAGTAGCATTTTCCTATTTAACCCCAAAACAATTGATTCAAATTCAATATTTGTGAAATAAGAGTTCGTTCTCGAATGGTATTTTATGCTTAGGTACACAATATTTTTAACCAGGTACAAATTGTACCTGATGAGTTGTGAAAGGTTCAGGAGGTGTGTCAATTGGGATTGTACTGAATTGACAAGACTATTTCCCAGCTGTTACACCCAACCTGAAATTGGCTATTTTTTCCTCTGCTGCAAAAATGAGGCAACATTCTTTGGTGGGGTGTAAGAGAATGTGAACAGTTTGGCTTTGCTCTAAATAATCTGTTCTAAAGTGCTTTTTGAATTTGTGGGGAAAGGACTGGGGAAATAATGACCTCCTTTGGCATTCTCTGGGCATCATTAAAATAGTGGACATATGTTTGGTATCTATGGACTAATATTCACTTTGGCAGAGTTAGGGCAAAATCTTATGCAAGGAAAGGAATGTATTTTGGGTTGCAAGTTAGTTTGCTTGGTACCTGATTTCCCCCCATCCCCCAAATTGCTAGAACCCATGAACCCAGAGTCTTTGTGTGGTTATTGTTGCAACTGGGCTCATCCTCCATACATGGATCTAAACTTTCAGAAAGGGAAGAGAGGCATAGTGGTGTAGTTTCCCTTGAGAATCTATATTCATTTAGTTAAAATAATTTATATCTTTCTCTTCTTCCTTAAGAAGATCAGAGTCATGTACACTAAGAACAATAATATATTCACAACTTTAACAAACTGTAACAAGCAATAAAATTCACCATAGTCAAAATATTTAGTAAGGTTCAAAACACAGATTAAAAAAAACAGTCTTGACTGACTTCCTAAAGTGCAGATGATGAAGGAATCATGTTGGGATGGTGAAAACTGGCGCCTTGCAACAGCATAGAGTTGGACCCAATGGCCTTCTTGGTCCCTTCCAACTCTACTGTTCTATGATCATGCAGATACACTGGGGACAGGTGCCCAAGCAGCTAAGGAGTCATCACAGGAGAAACCTTCATGTACAATGTCATCTTCTGAATACTGAAACAGCTTGTGAGAAAAGCTCCTGATGAAGACTTAGTTCTCAGCAGAATTATGTGAAGGACAGGGATCTGCAGCAGATCAAACCTGCTTCATTTCTGGTAAGTGTTAGCAAGCATTATTATAACCAAAACATTCTAAAAGGCAATTCCATATGTCATTACATTTGCCCAAGATTCTTGCTCATTATCTAAATGTATGCATGTTCTTATTTGTTTGTGCTCTGAACATCCCTAATGCAAATATAACTTCAGCCACAAACACATTAGGTATGTGTTCCTATCAGTCTATTCTCGCGGCTTCAAATCAAGCCTTATTTGCAACATGGGGGGAAAACACCCTACCTCATAGGGCTTTTGTAAGGATAACTGAAATCGCATACACAAATCTCTTTGAATGCTCAGTCTGTACTAAATCTCTGCTGAGAATTATTTTATTGTCTCTCATTGCTGAGAGGTGTTGTGAGACGTTGCTTCAGCCCCTGGCAATGGGAAATGTGTAAAACCCAAACTTCACTGCCTCCCTCTGACCCCCTGAAGCATGTTATTTTGAAATTACACGCATGTCAATTGCTGAGGTGTCGGCAGAGAGACACCTCAGCTCCATCTTAAAAACAGACTTGTTCTTTCCCAGCTTTTCAGGCCTGGCTTTCTTTGCAGATTGATGGATTCATGCAGTGAAGAAAACCAGCCAATTCCCCTTCCCACTTGCTAAGTCCAACTGCTTGTGACACAAAGAGAACCGTGGAGAAGATTCATACAGAGCTGACATGACCAATTGGCTTGTGCTGCCAGTGAGAGCACACACAGAAGAAGCAATGCTCAGAGACAGAAGAGAAGGGGCCAGATGATTATCACGCCATCGTTCCTTCTGTTTCTGAAGTTTCGAATGTAGATCTGCGAAACAATTGATTCAAATTCAATATTTGTGAACTAAGAGTTCATTCTCGAATGGTATTTTATACTTAGGTACACAATATTTTTAACCGGGTACAAATTGTACCTGATCAGTTGTGAAAGGTTCAGGAGGTGTATCTCTTGTACGCAAAAGAGGAAGGTATTGTGCTGGGTGGGGTGCGGGAGGGAATCCAAGGGCTGCAGAAATATATATTTAAAAAAAACAGGGAAACACGTTAGAGGTGGGAGAATTCCCTAAAGAACTCCACAATAACTGAGCAGGTTCAGTAGCCAGGGGCTGTTAACCACTGTGGAGTGGGAAATGGAGGGCTGAGATGGAGGTGGCCATCCCACACTGCAACCACTCATTATATATGAAAGCATTACAGCTTGAGTAATTAGCTGCAGTTAACTGTAATTAGCTGCAGATTGATTAACTGCAGATTAAATCACTGAAACTTTTTATTAATTAATGAAATTTTCATCAATTAAAAATTTAAAAGCTTTTAAACAAAACTTTAAAAAATAACATTTGGACACTTAGAAAAAGTCTGATTAATGAAATACTTTTAACTGATTGATTAACTTTAGTTTAATTAATGACAATTAACTCCAGATTAATTAGCTCCCTTGATTAATTATATTTGGAATAATATATTATTAAATATGTGAAATATTATCACATATCAGTGGATATTAAAAGGCTCATTGTAGAGTGGAGATGCCAGCAGAAATTTCCCTCCTATTTTCTAACAGCATCTTTGAGGGTAGGGGAAGAATTAACGCCTTCTGCTCTGTGTATGACCTTCTCTGCATCTCCTGGTGGCTTCTATTGTTAAAGGAAAAAACATGCATTACTGCTCAGCCCTGGCTGCTTGGAAGGCCCAAACTCTTCTGAGTGCACTTTAGAGGGGGTGAGGGAAAGATGAAGCTGAGAATAACCATACCTTGGCCTTTCAAATCTTCCCTCCTTGTCTTGCAGAACATCCTCTTTCTCCTTTCTCCAAGGTCCAGTCTTTGATCTCAGAAAAGCAGCCAGTCCGGTCCTCCCCATGCTGGCCACGAGGGCACTGGGGTCAGAAATACTCTTCTGAGCAGGGAGTCCCGTGCCAACCCTCTAACCACCATGCCATGCTGGGCCTCATATCCGCAAGCTCTTCTTTTTCATTTCCCATACTTGAGTTACAATGATGTTTAGATGCAAAGCTGTGGCATTTGGTGGGACAGAAGCAAGTATTTTCTAATGTTCAACTTCAAGGATTTGTGTGGGAATTCATCCCTGCCTCGCCGCATTCATGCTGTAGCTAGGCATGCTACGCTCAGCCAATAGTATTGTAATTTACCAGCCAATAGTATTGCAACTTACCCAGCCATTGTAATTTACCAGCCAATAGCATTGCAACTTACCCAGCCAATAGCATTGTACTTCACCTGTGTAACCATATAAGGCTTGTGACCATATATAGCAATAAGTACGCTTCCTGTTTCCTGCGCCTGCGCATAAGCAATCAGTAAGCATTTTGAATCCTGCGCTTGCGCACAATGATTAGGGAGTTGGCTGATTAACTCGATGGCGATTGGTGTAGGCAAATACAAATGTAACAATCTGTGAATTAATA